ACAACGCGCGGCGGGCCGCGGGGCCTTCTGCCGGCGTTTGGCGAGGGGGTGGGGGCGAGGGGGGCGAGGGGCACGCCAAACGGCGCTCCGTAGGGGGCGATGTCCTGTACAGCCCACACCACAGGGCCGTCGGCGCGCTCAAGCGGAGGAGTACCCCCCCCCCCTCCTCTTCACGAGGTCACTGCCGCACACGGCGCCGCGGCGCGCCACGCCAGCTGAAGTAGCGCCTCCGCGGACGCCCCGAGGAGCAGAGCGCAACGGACTCGCAGTGTACCTGGGGTCAGTGTCAAGAGCAAGCGACGGCTCTGCTCTAGGACGAGGCGCTCTGGGACGGTCGCGCAGCGCTACGCGGCGCTATGCCGGCCGCTAGGCGCGCCCGTCGTTCGAAACGCAGCCGTGTATTTAAATTGGACATTCTATTTCCTGGAAACGTTTTGACGGTTCGCCGCGACTGCACGGCGTGGCGTGGCGGGGCGGGGCCTTCCGACTGCATCACCGGCGGGCTGATGATCATTACATTACTTTCCGCTACGCTGCGCTACGCCGCGGTGAATGATCCTTCGAGCCCCGCCCCGCCCCGCCGCGCCGCGTCGCGCCGCCCCAAGGCCGGAAGTAGGGCCCGGCCCCCCTCCCCTCCCCCTTCCCGCGCGTACTCGCGAGTACGGGGTCGCCCTTAAGCCAATCAAGCTGCGGGTGGGGCGGGGGAGAGGGAGAGGGCTTGCCCTGGCCTGTCCTGGCTTATGCCCCAGACCCGCTCGTCCACAAGTACTCCTTCTAGGACAGCGCGTCCCGCCTTGCGTGCTTCTGTTCGCTTCGTAGGCCGCCGCGGGACGTGCTTCTGCGCCTCCTGCGCGCCCGCCGTCGTCGTGCTCGTCGAGGCCCTCGTCCAGGCCCTCGTCCAGGCCCTCGTGCTTTAGGCCCGCCCCCGGCTGGTCCCGGGGCTGGCGGCTGGCGCAGGGCGTGGGCCCCATGCGCGGTGGCGGTGCTGTGGCGGTGCTGTGGCCGCCACGCCGGGCGTCAACGCGTCGACGGCGAGCCGCCGCGTCGCTCCCAATCAGACGTATCGCTCCATTACCCCACGCCCGCCACGCCCGCCACGCCACGCCCTGCCCGGCCTGCTCGGCCAGCTCCAGCCAGGACCCAGGACCCAGGACCCGGGGCTTCAGCATCAGGACGCTCTTCGCCAGCGCCACATGCTGGCCAGGGTTCTCGGGCAGACTTCCTGCACGTCCGCCTGCTTGCTGCTGACAGTGCGAACACTGTAAAGTCGGGGCCCTCCTCGGGCAGGTGCGCGGTGCTTCGGTCTCCGCCGATGAGACACGAGCGAGGAATCGGGATTTCGATTTTTGTTTTCTAACGGTCCAAGAGAACGATTTCTGTCTGCGGGACTTCGGGAAAAGGGAAAGGACGACGAGGAAGGTGAAATGGGAATGGGGGGACCGCTCGGGGGACCGGGGAGCACGGAACAAGCGGCCCCAAATTGGACGAAAATAAAACTCGACTCGTTGACCGCGCAGCGCCGCAGCGTGCGTCTCGGCGTTGTCTCCGCGTCTCTTCGCACGATGCAGATCGCTATCGGCGCGGGGTGCGGGCAGAGGACTGAGAGACGTTTTCGTCGCTCTGTCTCTCTCGCACCTATGGGGGCCGCCCCCTGAGTGCGAGGGAGACAGAGCGGCGAAAACGACTCACGGAATCAGCCTGCAGTGCGGGCAGAGCGAGCAAGCCAACTGTTGTCGATAAACTTGGACGGGGTGTCAATGGGCCTGACAGGTGAGGCGGTGATTGGATCGTGTGTTGTTTCACATCCCTGCTGCGCGTCGCGTCGAGAGGGGGAAGGGGGGGGGGTCTCCTTGTTTGCACATCCTCTTAATTACTCGAAAAAGGAAATGGTCGTTTGCACGTGGAAATTGTTTGGCCGTCGTAATTGCAGTAAATGCGCCCCGCGGCCGCTGTCCCGTCCAATTTGAATGCGCGTTGCGCGTTGCGCGCGGAGCGTCGACTACTGCGAGAGTGCGTGTGTGGCGGTGTGTGGTGTGTGCGTGTCTGCGTGCTCCATGTCTCTCTTTTAGCGCATTCTGCATCGGAGAGGAGGAGGAAGGGAAACAGAGGAGAGGTGGCTGAAGATAAGCGGGCCGAGCCAAATGTGCTGCGATTGTTTTATAGGCCTGGTGCCCGCTGTTGCTCGCTTGCAACGCCTCTGGAAGGCGGTAGGGCACGCCAATTCATTAATTAGAAAAGTTCACCTGTCGTCAATGAATGAATTATTCAATGCAGGAAGGCATTGTTGAATGAATGAATGAATCGTAGACCGGTCCGTTCCCCGTATGTATGATTCTCATGGTTTGACGCGATGCATGGTGTGCCACAGGTGGTCTCCGGGCACGTCGGCCCCCCAGCACCTGTCGCCGCTTCGCCGTCGTGCGTCCGAAGTCAAAGCCCCGGGGAATCGCGTGTGTGCGTTCGGCCGGTGCGGCCTGTGCGGCCTGTTCGGCCTGTTCGGACGACGACGGTTTCGCCTTCGCCGCCTTCGCCCTCGTCTCCAGGTTGGGGGAACAAAAGCCGAGTGCAGACTTGCAGCGCCTCCCGCCCCTCCCGCCCCTCCCGCCCCGCACCACCCCCCTCCAGACTCGTTCACCTTGGCAGTCTCGGTCCCCTGGCCGCTGCGCGCGCTGCGTCCATTGCACCCCTCCCCCTTCTGAGGCTGAAATGTCTTGAAAAGAAGCAGAATCACCAGGAAGCGACGGCGCTCCCACACGCTGCCTCCGCTTACTTTGACGTGCTGCAGGGAGGGGCGGAGGGGGCCCAGTGGCGTAGCACTGCGTGGCACGGCCAAGACGCGCCGCCTGGACACGTGCACGTCGACCTGCAGTCGGCCTGTCCGAGGGCCTGCCTTGGCAGCAGGGTGCTAATGTGCCCCTGCCTGCCCCGCCCCTCCCATCTGCACCCCGCTACGGTTCGCCTGCGACTCTTGGGACCAGCGGCGTAGCACGGCGTAGCACGGCGTAGCCATGCGAGACCCCGAGGAGGCCGACGAGGGTCCCGAAACAGCAACACGCCTGCCCCCAGCCTGCCCCCAGCCTGCCCCCAGCCTGCCCCCAGCCTGCCCCCAGCCTGCCCCCAGCCTGCCCCCAGCCTGCCCCCAGCCTGCCCCCAGCCTGCCCCCAGCCTGCCCCAGCCCCGCGGAAAGGCAGCGCTGTTTCGCTTGCTTGTCTTTCGCCCAAAAGAACAGAGTCTCAACAGCCGCAAATTTGCAGGCCGCGCTGCAGAAAATAAAATCGGCGGGAAATTCGGCGAGGGCCGTGCGAGGCGACTGCAGGACGCATCCTCTTTAGGGAGGAATGCAGACCAGAATTACAGCACACATCCCCCCCCCCTTCTCCTCCTCCCCAGGCTCAGCCAGGCGCGCAAAAAAAAGAGAGAGAGAAGAAGCCAGAAACCAAGAGCTGGATCCTCTTTTTATTCCTTTTTCCTCGTTTTCGTTCTCCCTTTTTGTCGGAGATGCAGGAAGAGAAGTGCAAGGCTGCAGGCGAGGGGTCGGGGGCCTTTGGGCAGGACGGGCGGGGCGGGGCGGACAGGGCGGGCGGTGTCTGGCAAACCAGACGCGTTGTTGCCAAAGCGCCAAAGCGCGGGCGTGCGTGTGCGTTCGGCGGGCGGGGGGCGGGAGGCGCGGAGGAGGGCACTCAGGCTTACAGGGCCGTGGCCTGCAGGGCCTGCAGGGCCTGCAGAGCGCCGACAGCCCAAGTGGCTGCAAGGGTGTCGACGAGCACCGCGACGCGCTGGTCTACACGCCGTGGAGGTCTACCGATGTACCCCTGGACGTGGTACCCGGGCCCCACCCAGCGGCGTAGGTGCCCCCGCTCCGCACGGCTCCGCACCGCTCCGCACTCCCCTTCTCTTGTTCGTCGGCTCCAGGGCTCCAGGACCAGACGCCGCGTGGCCTTGAGCATTGCATGTCCGCCTCGCGCTCCGACCACTGCCCCGGCGGCCCGGCCCCGGCCCGACTGCGTTTGAAAGGAAGAGCTGCCCGCCCGTACCCGCCGCGCCCCGTTCGCCCCTCACCTTCGCCGCGCCGGGCCGGGTTACGCCCTACCCTGAACAATGACCAGTGTCCCGGTCGCTTACCTGTGCCCCTCCCATCCCCTCCCGGGCCCCGCCAGCACCGTCACTCTCACTTTTGCCGCCAGTACGGGCCCGCCGCGCCGGCCGCCGGCCCGCCTGGTCTCGGCCCGCGTCGGGGCCAAGCGCGGCGCGACGCCCAGCGACGCCCTGCGATTCCGCACAGGGCGAGTGAGGAATCTGCCCTGGAAGTTCTCGTCCCGGGCAAACGCCGTGCATACTGTACACATGCCGTGTCCGGTGGCCGCGACAAACGAAAAGTGTAGCGAGGGCCTGGCACGGCAGCACGGCACGCTCGTAGCGCTGAGCGTGGTGTTGGCCTGTTGGCGTCGCGTGCGTCGCGGGACACTCCCAGCGCACCACAGCCGCGGCCCGGCGGTCCTGCGGGGCGGCGTCCCGAAGGGCTGGACGGAGGACGGGGGCCGGGCAGGCCCTGGGCCAGCTCATGGCCACGGCCCCCGCGTCATGGACATGACCGCGCCGACTCTCGCAAGGGGACGGGGTGGGGTGGCGCGGGACAGGGGGCGTGCGACAGATTACATTCGTCTGTCTGCCGCGGCGGGGCGGCGGGGCGGGGCGGGGTGCCTCTGCGCTTCGTTCGTTTCTGGGTCAGACGGCTGGCGTCCTCCTGCGGCGGGGACTGGAGGGAGCGGCCGAGCGGCGGGGGCACAGCCGGGTCGGGTCGTACCGGCCGATTTTTTGGCCAGGAGAGGTCCCGCTCCGCTCTTTTGCCGCCACGGCACGGCGACGCGTGGAACACGGTGGAACGCGGAATCCACACCCTCCAGGTTCGCAAAACCAGCGCGGCCCTTGCAGTGTGTTGGTATACCGTAGTCCGGTCTCTTATGCTGGCCGAATCTAATTTTTGGTTTCTTTGTTCACAGGTGGCAACCGATCCAGCGCCGCAAGGGACGTGACCAAGGTTCAAGCGTGAGTCTCAATTGTAAGAAAACACGATCAAAGTTTTCTTTTAAGCTACATTTTACTTTAAACGAAAGTGGATTTGTTTCCTTATCCAGAGTCATAGAGGCATCTAAAAATTTAACGCTCTTTGAAAATACCACTATACTTTCAACCCCTGAAAAGTCGAAGTACCTCCCTGAAAGTTGACTGCCGCGCTGGCACCGCTCCTGGTGGTGTGGCACTACACCTGCGGCGCTTGCCCGACTCCGCCCCGCCCCGCCCCGCCCCGCCCTGCCCCGCCCAAGCACTGAATTGTCTGGATGGACTGCTGGACTCTCCCCGACTGACCCCGCCAACCCCGCCGCCTGACCTGTGTGACCGGCCGGACCGGGCTGTTATGATCCTTGTTGTTGTTATTGTTATTAGACGGTGTAATGAAGACGCAGCAGGTTTAACGTGGCCCACCCCTTTGCAAAAAAAAATTATATATTTGCTCATCAACCAGTTTGCGTGTGCAGACTCGGTGACGAGCTGAACAAATTTGGTGACAAGTTTAACTGGATCGAGGCTCCGCTGATCTTGGGTCACCCATAAACTTCGCTTTTTCCCTTCCCTGTAAAAAAATAGACGTATTTTTTTTTAATTTTGCTTTGGGTCACTTACATTACTGTATTCTGCTGTGTTGCCGCATGATAAATATAAAATCAGTTGCTTAAAGCAATCCTTCGTGAGCGTATTTTGCCCTTCCTGTTCTTAAAAAAAGTGTGCAAAACAAAAAGGAACGTGAAATGTGCTTATTTGTCTATAGCCAATGAAAATTAAACAAAACTTGTGCATTGAGGAGAGCCTGACTTTAGTACTGAATGTTTATCCGCTAGTATCTTTTGTACAATTTTGTGTTGTGTTCCCAGCCTCGCAGCAACAGATGAGGTACGACGGTTCCTATGCCTTGCCGCTCGAACCCGTAGATCCGAACTTGTGTTTATTCGGTCACAAGTCGGAGACTGCGGGTACGAGCTGCCGGGTGCGTTCACCAAGGCCACCAAGGCCCCCAAGGCCTCCAGGACACCAAGGCCCTGCTCCTGCTCGGCGTTGCGCCCCAAGACGCGCGTTCGAGTCTCATGCCCCCCGCCTCTTCTTGCTCGTCTCATCGGTTCAAGTCCCACCCCGGAGGGAGGGCTGTTCGCAGCGAGGCCGTGGCGCGGAGGTGCGCCTTGCCGCCTTGGCCTGCAGACCGTGCGCAGGCGTGCGTGCTTCCACGCGTGCCGTCCAGCCGTCCCCGGCCCCGGCACTTGGTGCCTCCGCCTGTCGGCCTGGCAGCCCTTGGGCAGCCCTCGGGCAGCCCGACAGACTGGCAGCATGCTGGCAGCGCCGAGACGCCCTGTGCGAGCTTCTCTCAAGGTGCGAGAGAGATAGGGCGAGACCTACCCATGAGAGAGACAGTGATGGCAGGCGGGTATGCCCTGCCGCACTGTGTGCCCCTCGACCCCTGGGCCCCCGGCCCCGATGTCCCCACAGCAAGCCGCGAAGCTGCGAACAGCCCTCGAGGTCCACAAGAAAGCCCAGACAGTGCCGCAGCCAGCGCGACCGCCAGGACCTCCTCCCAGTGACTCGCCGCGACTCGCTACTCGCTGTGACTTGTGGGGATGCGCGTGAATCGTCAAGGTTGTAAAGGATTCGATTCGCCTGCATTCGCCGTGAGATCTAAACAAACCCTGCTGTACGCGCTGTACGCCGGCCTGCGTGTGAGTGTGAGCGTGAGAGTGAGTGAGTGAAGGGGGAGAGCGAGATGAAGAAGAAGAAGAACGAGTTGATCTAAAGAAAGGTGGGGGGCTGCCTGGTGGCAGTCCAGGTACAGCCGGGTTGAGGTAGTAGGTTGTATAGTAATGAACTACATCACTTGGGAGTACTGTACAACTTGCTAACTTTCCCTCGCTGGGCCATTTCGCCCGTCCAGCCTCTGGCCTGTCTGCAGGCCCACTCTCCTCTTCGGCAACACAGCTGTCTTTTCAAAATTCCGTAGTATGTAAAACGATGAACCCTCGACCTGTGTAAGCCCCGCCGCTGCAAAGGGCCAGGTGAGCATGTTCGTTTGAACGGTTTGAACACAAATGGGCACATATTGTTGTGGTCGGGTTTCCGTTTTTCGTTATTTTTTGTGCCTTTGTACCGAGGGTTTATTCGTATGGACTGTATTTTTCTATGTATTTGTGCAAAACTCATGTACATTTTTAGCTTTTAAAAAAAATGTTTTAATTGGCATTGTTACTATACAAGTGTATGTTGTTCTCTGTGCGAACATCTAGTTGGCATGAGTGTGTTGTTTTCTTTCTTATTTTACGACAGGTCGTCTGCCTGGATAGCTAAACCATTCTGGTCTCTGAAAGTTCGGCGGATGTTCCGAAGCGAACGAAGGATTGCTGGACGTCTAAGAAACGTTTTGTAAGAGTACAGTGGGGGAAAATCACAGTTAAAAGGTCTCTCCTGTAAAACTACAAAACCGTTCTTAGATTGCTTTTCGCAACAGCGGCATGTAAAATGCGAAGAATATCCTCACACATAGCGATAAATGCCTTTGAAGTATTTTGTTTGATTTCTCCAGTTTGTTGCTTTATTTTAAGTTTTGTTTGTGTTGCTGGGTATAATGTTTATCGTATTGTTACTTTTTTTAAAAAATAAAGTGTCACCTGCTTTACTGAACACCGCTGGTGCAATGAGAAATGCGGTAACCAAACTTAAGTTGACATTGATTTGACGTCGGGCGATTTACATAGCGAATTTGGGATAAATTTTTGTGTAGTGTACATTTCAATTTCTTGCTGTAGAGCCGTATAGTGTAAGACATTGTTGTGCTTGATGTGAGAGCTTTGTTGAAAAGTTTAAGACCCTTTAGTTACTGCACTTTGCCTTGGGAACGAACTTATGCAGATTAGTCTTTGGTAGTACCGTTGTCTTGGCTTAGAACATTTTACGGACCGCTAATTTTTTTTTTCTTTCAGGTGTACTTAAATATCTGACAAATCTGACAAATATAGATATTATTTAACGTATCCGTATGACTATTAGGCTTTTCAATGTCTTCCTAAATCCAAAATTACCACATGTACGTAGGGTACACGTCGGGTACACGCATTATGCCTTCATACTTGATACCACATTCTTGCAATGACTGAAATTAATTGCCGCTTCACTGGATGTGGCGATGAGTCGAGGCGCTACTATTTTACCCAGGGAGGGGTAATGTCACGAAAATAAATTAAATAAGACAGACAAAACTGGCATTGGTGTCGTACGGGTGATTCCGCGTGTCCATGCAGCCAAGAGATTCCAAAGAGCAATTTCATCGCTCTGTCTCTCTCGCACTCCTATGGTCCTACGAAATGCCCCATGAGTGCGACAGAGACAGAATGCGACGAACGACTCTTCGGAATGAACCGACCAGACCGCAGGGCAGGGCGCAGGGCAGGGCGCAGCAAGGCGCAGGACCCGCGGCCCCGTGCTGCGGGTTGGGGCACCACATCCCGCCATACGAGCCCCTACGAAGGCATACAGGCCATCACCACTGTCTCTGTGCAATTGCACAAGCGAGCAGGGGCCGTAGATCTAACCTCACCTAACCTTTTTCTGATGTTTTGAAACCAAAGATATTTCACGAAGTATAAGTATGATTGAAACACGGAGTGAACTCCCCTTGTGGCAGGTTTAGAGGCCTGCCCGCCGGCAGGGCTGCATGCCGGCACGGCCTACCCGCCAGGCGATGACACTACTTGAAAACGGCAGTAGCGCTACCAGCCCAGCTGCGACGAAAAAAGGTGTTGACTGAACGGTGCTGCGGATATGAAAGAGAATGGGCCCAAGTCCGCGCAGGCACTGCGCCTGTGCTGTGCCAGTGTGCCAGGTTTAGGGGAGGAATGTTTAGCGCCTGGCAGGTAGGCCACCCAACGAGCGTGGGGACGGTGCGTGCGGCGTGCGGCGCGCCTGAAGGCAAAGGCAGGGGCGGAACACGGAGCGAACCACCCTCCCGCCTGTCCCCATCCTCCGTACGAAAACCATTGACGAGTTTTGAAACAATTATCTGAAAGGGGCTTCAATCATGAGTACCGTAGTAGGAAAAAAAATTGATCTCGTTCCTCCGTGGTTTTCTTATCTCGCCGTTCAAAGACAGAGAAAGGCCGACGGCAGAGACGGCCATTTTCTCTCGAACGCGTAATGCAAACGCCTCCTTTAATGTTCTCTATGACTCTGGATAGTGGCATGCGTGATGCGTGCGTGTCAGTCTCGCTTTATCCTTCACTCTGGTGGCTTGTTCACAGGGAGCACGCAGGAAGCGTGCTTGCCGACCGGAGCTCCGCAGAGCTTGCTGCCCGTTCCCTGAGACCCTAAACTGTGACGTCAACATTTAAATATCTCACAGGTTAGATTCTCAGGTATGGGAGGCTGCTTGCCAGCCCTGGACTACGAAAGATGTAATTTTCTATAATTTCAATAAATCTTAAACAGCCGTTTCCATTTCAATCAGAATCCTGCATCAATCTCTCACACATCCTGGTTGGCCATGTGGGCACCCTATGCGCGTCTATACCCTCGGCGCTGTGGTGGTAGGTAAGGAGTATTGCCGGCAAATAGCTGACAGACTGGGAGTATTGCCAAGGAAATAGGAAAGGTTCATAAGCTTCAAGAATATTCTATATAATTTCGATAACATAAATAGATTAGTACAACACTATGAAACCAAATTCATTACTTGTACAGAAAACAAGTCAAGAAAAAGTTTAGGAACTAAAACATTTAATGTTCAATAATACAATCCTCAAGACGAGCCGTAGACCGTGTTCAATCCAATTTCATCAACGTTCTAAACCTTCAAGTGAGATTCTGAAAATTGACAAGCACAAGAAAGTTCAAGTGGATTCAGACAAATAAAAAAAAAAAAAAGTTTCCGATTATTGCCTATTGCATTAATGACGAAAACTAGAAATTGAACTGAAATCAATCAAGCTTCTGGTCAGCTTCAATGGAAACAAAAATAAAACCCCAAAACCAAATCTATTGATAATTTGAAAACATGATTAAAGAAATTAATCAACAAAAACTCTTCCATTTAAAATAATAAACAATAAAAAATAATTAACTTTCTCACCAAAACAGATTTTTGGTGAGGAGCACCACACCATGAAACATTTCATTCAGCAGATGATTTCCCTCCCCCACAACCAGGCATGAAAAGTGATACAATCATAAGGAATTTGATGCTTCCCTTAAAGAATAACAAAAGGAAAAAAACAGTAATAATCAAGGTACGTTAAAAACAAAGCGAGCTTCACACTGTTGGCCAAAGAACTTCATCAAATCAATTTTCATTTTGTACCAAACTGACAACACACTTTAAAATGGAAAATAATCTTCCACTAATTATAAATGATTTATAGCTTCATCATGGTAAAATTATATTTAAGAAACCAGCTTAGTCAAGGAAAACCCACCATAAGAGGTTTTGTCCAAGGCTGCAAAAAGTTCCCCATATGAGCTGTTTAAAAAAGGAGAACTTGGTTGGACAGTCATAAAACTATTGACACTGACTTAAAATTATTCTGGGTATTCAGAATATTAATGTCACTACTCTAAAGGCTTCTTTAGATAAAAGGTGATAATACAAGCTCAGAAAAGCCTCATCTCTAAGAATAATAATTTGTTCACTTTAGTTAAAACTATAAATAGATAAATCAACCTTGCCATATACTGCAGTTTGACACCAACATGAAGCTGCTCATCAAATTAAGAAAACAAAAATCAACTTAAAACATTTCCAGAATTACAGGGAATGTAAGGTTGTAAGTACACACGCACCATTGAAAAGACTAACGTTCAAAGGAAAAAAAATCTAGTCTGTTTTACAAAAGCTTTCCTAAAGTAGGAAAATGAAAACTTAAAATTAAAAAGATAAATAAAATCTTTACTGCAGACCATCAAGTCTATTGAAGTCACGGCGGACAGGTCCTCTAAAATCAACGGACATGCTGCCCATAGTAAGTCCATCTGCAAAGCCACCTATAGCATTGGTCGATTTTGAAGAGCGGGTAAGATATTTATGAGACATAAGTGAATGGTCATAAGAATGGCGCCAGAGCCAGCATGAACGGCAGAAATAGCGGAAGCAGCAAATCTCTCTACAGAAATAGGGTCCATGCTGAACTGCACACAATGAACAAGGAGAGTCCTCCAGATAAGGATCCACCTGTACTTTCTTGGTGAATTTGTTAGACTTGACAACAACAAAGCGAGCACTGACAGCTTTCATGAAGGAGCGGTTGTTGTTGAAGGTAACACGAGCTGATCCAATGGGGTACTTGAATTTGTCTGTGTCAATACCTGAAATAAAAAAATACAATGAGCAAATCAAGGTTGAAGCCAACTTCCAAACTCAAATCAAACTGTCATTTAGTAGGCCTTACCTGCATAGACAACACCGTCAAACAGATCATGCATGACTACTGCCAATCCCTCAGCATTTAACATGCCGTGCAAGCCACCCACAAACACAGTCTTTTCAGGGTCCAATTTTTGTGAGATACTGCGAACCCAGTTGGTGTCGCTCAATGCCCAAGGAATAACTTGAACTTCTTTAGACTTCATCCGTTTAGATGACAGTTTAAAATACCAATTCTGACCACCAGTGGCAAAATCATTGGAGCAGGCTTGAAGCAATGCTTTGACCTACAACAATCAAGTGCTTTAGTGAATGAAATTCTTTAACAAACTCTGCACACAATGCAGACTACCTGGCAGTAATACAACCTACCTGTTTCTCAGATTCAAATATAACATATGCATATCCTTTAGGTGCAGGGACACCAGGCTGCCTAGCAGAGGGCCACTCCACAGTAACCATTCCAAACTGTTTCAGTCCATGAATCAGCATAGTGTCATTCATATCCCAAGGCACGCCACCAAGAAAGACCTAGTGTAAAAACAAACTTTACTAGTACCAAGCGCATAAAGCCAGTCCAAAAGAATAAATATAAGGTATAAAATTTCTGATTACCTTGACAGAAAAAGTAGGATTCTCCAGATTTCTTGCAGGTAACAAGCCACTCCATGTGCTCGTGACATCACGTTGAGGGTCTGAAATAAGAATTAAGAATTTGAATTAAAAATGAAATCCGTACAAGGCCTTTTAAAGCAATGAAACAGAACTCACTGGCGAAGCCACGGCGCAAGCCACGGGATCCTGCATTGTTAACAGAGTCCAAGCCAGCCCTGCCATTGAGAGTAGACCCAGGCGACGGGGGCGTCCTGGGAGCGGCGCCCCGCAGCGGGCTGGACATGAAAAGGGGCGACCCCGGCAGAGAGCTGGACAGTGAATTGGGCAGCGAGTTGGGGAGGGAGCTAGGGCTCCACGAAGGGCTCCAAGCCCTGTCAGGCGATGCCAATGGTGACGACAAAGGAGAACTCAAAGGAGACTGGGGCTGGAACAGATGCAACAACACTAGTTGACACAAAGTACCTAATATATTGACATTGAACAGATTGACTTGTCGTAAGAATCACCTGTGGTTGTTGATTTTGTTGAAAGAAGTTCAGAGACAGATTATTATTAGTTAGGTTTTGAAGTGCATGGAGGTTCGTCAGGTTGGTCAGCTCCTGCTGACGTTGGTCTTCTGCGTTGCTATTGCCAGGAAGGCCCGCAGACATGGCAGAATCACTGCGAGCGCGAGCATGGAGGTACAAACAGCTCTGCAAACAACAAAACACCAGTTTAATTATTTTATAAAAGAAAGAAAAAAAAAAAAAAAGAGCGAGCAATATGACAGTTATAACTCACCATGAGATCAGATAGGTTCGCATTGTCACTGTTCAGACTTGTATCAGACTCGGGGGAGTTGGAGCGTGAAGAGGAACCCAACAGGAATGCTTGCTCGAGAGGACTGCCACCATCACTGTCCAAATAAAAATTAATTTAAAAAACAGTGTCATGGAGACCAAGGGGGATGCTGGGCACAAACTAGAGCTCACCTGAGGGTGTGCGACCCGACTCTGTACGGGCGAGACCCCACAAAACCAGGTGAGAATGGGCTCTGCGGCGAAGAAGCGGGCGACGGCGACGGCGGGGCGAAGGTGACGGACGCCGCGCGATTCCGACGCATCCGGAATTCGGAATTCCCTGGCGAGGACATGTCCCTGTCGAGTGGCAGTGGGCTGCCGGGGTGACTCGTCGGATAGCCGCTGTCGTCGCCCTAGAGGAGCACCAACAACCAAAATTGGCGTATTTACAAACAAAGGATGCCACGATGAGTCGCACAAGGCGTCGGTGTAGGGTGGCGGTGGCAGTGTAGGGGTAAAGCCATTGTCGGGGCGGGGGGAGGGGGGCAACCCAACGGAGGAACCAACCACTGCATCCAACCATCACCGGCGGCGCAGGCTGGCACAGGCTCCCAGAAACCAAAACGACGTGTCGCGGTTCTTACCGTGAACTGTCTCATGTTGGGAGCTCCCATGAAGGCCTGTGGAGCTGAGTTGGCACCTTCCGTGGCTCCGGGCGCCGATCCCATCAACGACCCGCGAGGCATGTTCAGACCCAGCAACTCAGCAATTGACATCAACGATTCACCTGAAACAACCGAAATTAACTCAAACAGCGCTCGGAAAGACAAAGGGGCGTGTGCGTCAGCAGGGACTCCCTCGTAACTAAGGTCATATGGAAGATCGTAACGGGGGAGGGGGTGCGTCAGCGTTGGAAGCTGTCCGATAATGGAAACAGTTCCACTTACTTTAGTTCCGCAAAACATACAACAGAGTCAGGCTCCAACTTGCAACTTGCGCTTCTAGGAAAGGGCTGAGAAACGGAAAGGGAGGGAGGGGAGGGACGGAGGGACGCACGGGGAGAGGGGGGGGGGAATGGGTGCATGCGAAACCAACTGAAAAGCACGGCGAGGTTCTCGTCGCTGTCTCTCTCGCACTCGTAGGGCTTCCCAATCAGGTGCGAGAGAGACAGGGCGACAACTCTCGGAATCAGTCTGGTGCCCGAACAGTTTCCGTTTATCCGTCGACTTCAGGTTCATTGACAGTGTGGTTGAGATTCATTCATACTCACTGTCAGTTCCAGAAGATCTTGTGTAGTCCTCGTCCAAAGAACCATCCACCAAACGATGGTAGTCCGATCTCGTAGTTTCCGACCGCGACAAAGTTTCGCCGGCCTAAAATGTGACAAAGAGGAAACGTGAGGGAGGTTTGCTTCAGAGCGCATCCCTTTCTCCTCCCCACCAGAGGTCCTCGTCCTCAGCCCCAGCAAAACCTCGCGTTTACAACCGATCTGCCCCGACAGGGCTCGTCTCAACAAAGAAACTGATGTTACGCAAGCCCCATCGGGCCTTCGCATCCCATGCTTTAGGGCAGGGACGCTCTACAATGCAAAACATCGAAAGCCGAATAAAATAAAATCATGTTTGACCGACAACAAACCTACAAACGTGCACGCTGCGTCGCCCAAAGCCAACTGAAATGCTGGCAACTATGGTAGAAAATGCTTCGTGTGATAACTGTCTCGATTATGCTTGCCACCCACCAACCACATGGCCTAGCTACATGGGCGCCTCGCCGCAACTCACTGAACTCACTCTCACTCCAGTGACAGATGTGAGTGAGACATCACGCACACACGCACCCACCGAACAGCTGATTCGTGGAACGAGTCGACGGGCGTCGACGGGTCGCTCCACTAACTTTAACCCGACAGATGTACGTAAAACATGAATTTGAGAATACGAGAGAGGAACGGAATTTCAATTAGTTTCCTATGACACAATCCCCCATCACAACTCTCAAATGGAGGAACAAGTTACCGAGCCCAATCCTGTTGGCTTGTAAACAACACCCCACTTTGACTGCACTACAACCGTCAATAACAGACCCTCGTACTCACCTGTTGCAAAGAAGGCATGTCCACAACTAATAAAACTCTAATTTAAAGGTTAATTTTTGAAATAAAGTACATTCTTGCTTCTATAGACCGCAGCTTCTTCGGGCAGCACTAGACCTGCAGTGACAATGAATCGGACCGGCAACGGCGATCTGCTCTGCGCTTCTCCTCCAGCCGCTTCCCCTCCCACCACCCCAGGCCCTATCACAGCTGACGTCACTCAATGGCAGGTCGTGTCGTGATTGGCCAACTGCAGCGGGCTAACTGCATTCAAGAAAACCGTTAGCTTAGGGACTCTTGATTGATTATTCAATGTAATTGTAAAGGGGGAAAAAAATAAATTTGTCAACTAGAGACAATGTTTTTTAACTTTTCAATAGTACATTTAATTTAAATTAAAATAATAATAATAAAAAAAATTGACATTCATTGACATACACAGACAGACCATTAACTAACAGGCATTCCAAGAATAAATGGAAAAATCTCCTTCTCTCTGGGAGATTGTAGGTGATGAATGAAGACTGTATCTGCTATGGTATCACAAAAATCCTTGAGAGCTAAAGCTTGGAGCCTCCCTTCATAGTTTTCAGAACTGCTATTTCAGAGTAATAGAGGCCAGTCCAAAAAGAGATGTATGGACACAAGCCCTTCACAGTTTAAACTTCCAAGCTGACAGGCAAAGACTCATAATCGTGAAAATCCTAATTCTTCAATCAAACTAGAATTAAGAAGTGTTGTCCAAAGTTTGAGAAGATGTATCTTGCATCTCCACCTCAAAACTTAGGTTTGAGGAACCTGCAGTTACATTTGCTAGATCGGAGGCATTTGGGGTATCACTCATGATGGCTGGAGTAACACCATCAACATCCTCATCTACATTCATGCTACTCTCATCAGGGTTCTGATCGTCATAGGAAATAATTCTTGGTGTCGTGGATTTCTTACTTTTAAATACTGGCATTTTCTCAGGAGCACCTGCAACAAACACATGACTGTCAAATACTTACACTAACAGAGAGATTGTTTCAAGTAGAAGTAAATTGGCGGCAGCTACAGTTACCTTCGAAAGGTAAGGGATCATCAACAAGTTGCTCTATGACATAATTTAGCATTGTAGTACTGAAAGTGTCATCCCGCCGCAGACCCAAGGCTTTGTGGAAGCAATCTACAGCCTCTAAGGTGTTGCCCATCATGGCATGAGCGTAACCCATAGCAGAAAATGTAGAAGAATTTAATGGTTGCAAAACCAGGGCCTGTAAAACCAAACAACCAATTGTTGAAGTCATGGGGCATCCATAAACTTTAATCAGCATAAAATTAAGCAAACTAGACACAACATTACATATTTTTCGTACCTGTTGGTGGTAGTCTAAAGCTTCTGAAAATTTACCTCGTTTCCTTGAAACATGGCCAAGATTATTAAGTAGAGGTTCCCACTTTTCAGCAACGGAATCATCAATTGATCTCACTAGCTTCAAGGCATCTTCAAAATGTTTTTCAGCTCTTTCATACCTGATATTCAATATTTGACAAAAGTAAATTTAAAGTGCAAAACTAATGCAGAGGTGCAACAAATTGAGTCTTTGAAAATTTGAATACCAATTAATTAACAGACTTACTCTTGATTTTGAAATGCTATCACTCCTAATTCATGCATCACAAATGGATCTTGAGGAGCTATATTTTGAGCTTGTAGGAAAAATTTATCAGCTAACTTGACACTGTTCGTCAGACCACATTCAAGGCCAATATACAAAAGTGGTAAATGGCAGCTGAAATTTAAAGTTTAATTAAATGTATTTGATTGACAAATATTGTGTACTGAGTGTCACAATAAAAAATGTAATGTATGTATTTACTAACCCTTTCATTAATTGGGAAGCTTTAAAATAAGCAGACATAGCCTGGTCATGTTCATTCTCAGCAGCAAATGAATGTCCGAATGCAAGCCAAGCTGGGCCAAATAACCGATCAAGCACTGTTGCCTTTGTTAGATAACGTCTAGCAGGATCGCTTTTGCCTGAAATAAAAAACATGTTTTCTTTTCCTTCCAAAAATAAACAAGGTATCTAAAGAGGCAAGGATTTTTCACTTGTTGAAAACATTAATAAAACAAGACAGATTTAAGTTGTCATTTACCAATTAAATAGTAGTAGCAACCAACTGCAAACCATGATATGGCCATTTCTGGATGCAGATCAACTAGTCTATGGGCCAAATAGAACAATTCTGTAACAAACATAGAAGCTTATTAATATAATCAAACTGAAGACACAGCGACATAAATAACTCAGGAGTACATACGGTTACTTTTCTTCAATTCTACCAAACATCCAATATGTACAGATAAACAATTACTATGGTAAGGGTCTTTCTTTAGCACTCTGAAAGCAACACATTGAAAAATAGACAAAGTAAATTTAAAAGAAGAAGAAAATAATCAACCAACATGAAATTTCTTTTTTTAAAACAAACACTCACTCTTCAGTCAATTTAAGGCAACTTTGGAATTTGCAATTATAAAACAGTCTCTCTGCCTTTGACACCAACACATCCAAATTATTTGCCATTATTTTCACAACAGAGTTAGTCTGCAACTCTGCATACAAAGGTGTAGAAGTAGGCTTTTGGGATCCTGTATGGTCATCAGAGATATCAAGGGAGAGCTTTCCTTTCAAGGCAAGGCCAGGACTTGGACTTGGAGGAACAGCAACAGTTTTGGAAGGATGTGAACCCTCTGGATACGGTCCTTGATACTTGTTAAGCTTTATTTCATAAAGCTGACGCACAAATGAGGCTTCAGCTGGTGTGCTGCACTGTTTAGAGTATGGTATTGAGTCTAGTAATACCATTTCTGCTAAGCAAAAACAACAATAAAAATAACATAATAATAATAATAATAATAGTAATAATAATAAAAAGATAAGAATTTTGTCACACAAAACTTGTACACTGAAAAATAATGATGAAGAATGTACAAACCTTCCCAAGACGATAACATGTGATGTTGAACAAGAGCATCAAATGCCTCATAGCAATACACATCACACCCGAGTGCTTGCCTGTAACTCTCCGCAGCTAACTCTCTATTGTCCATGGCTTCTAATACTTGTCCTTTAAGGAAGAGGATACTGCTCTCAAGCTGAAATCATTGAACGGAAAAAAAAGCAACAATAAGAATAATATTATATATTTTTACAACCTCTGCTCAAAATACGACTTACATTCCTAGGACAATCTGGATCAACAGGTCCTTCACTTGGAGAATCGATAGTGAAATTGCGTGCAGTTTGTGACAAACTAGTATCATTTTCAACTATGGTAAGAAGCTGCAAAGCTTCCGAAAAACAACCAGCAGCTAAAAGACTTCTTACAGTCAGGTAATGGCAAAGAGGATGTGCCTGAAAAATATAAACAAGAGTGTAATAGTTGTATCATGACAAAAGGGCAACTAAAGAAGAAAATGTCCATTCAAACCTTGTCTAGGTCCCTACTGCGGATCAAGTGAACTGCACGGTGGTATTGTCTCAAGTGAAACATGCATTGAGCAAGCCAATAGACATCTTTAGGATCATCATTTGAGAGTGAGACAACTTTATCAGCCCAAAATAAAGCAGCATTGTACTGGTGCTGAAAACAAGCGCAAAGGACATGAAGACGAACTACTATTTTAAGAGAAGTAACACCTTTTCCATTTTTAAAAACAGAGTAAGAAAATTGAGGATGAATAAAAACACTGGCAACTATAACGTCACCTAACCCTCATTACAGGAATTAAAGTTATCGTGGGCATAAGGTGTTCTGTGGAGTGTCCCAGACAAACTGCACTCACCAAATCTAAGTACGAACGGACTAATTTCCTGAACGTGTCAATATTAACATTTAGCTCATTTATGTTTTTCATTTCACAATCCATTTCTCCCGCTGCTGCTGCTGCTGCCGCCATTTTTGGCCGGCTCTTCAGTTTGTTTACCGAATCGATGTTTATCACTTCGATACTTCGATTGTTTTTTTTATCTAAAAAAATTAAAATAATATGAGTTTTGAACGTGTAAAGGGACCTCTGTGGTTTTTTTTTTATTAAAGAAAAATACCCTGCAAACAAACGAAAACTTAACCTGAAAGCAAGAGAAAGAAGGGGAGGGGGAGGGGAGGGGGAGGTGGGTGGGGGTGGGGGTGGTGGGTGTGGCGAGTGGCAGCGAGTGGTGAGCGTGGTGAGTCCGAGGGCGAGGGGCGAGGGTGAAAGGTGGTGAGTGGAGTGGAGTGGTGTGGTGGCGGTGGGGTGGCAGCGGCAGTCGACAGGTCTGCGCTGCGGCGTCTGCGGTGCGGCGAGCGGCGTCTGCGGGTGCTTTCAGTAATCATCCATAAGTATTGATTGAACACTTTGAAAATGGCGGACAGTAAGTCGTTTTTGCACATTTGGTGTGCAAAGCAGAAAATCAACCCTCCTCACTTCGATGTTAGGCCCACGGGTAAGAAACTTCCAACCTAAATTTGCTGAACCCTAGTGGTTCGAGGATCAATGAATTTGGAATAGAAAATTAAGGTGTTGAATTTTAATTTTTCAGGCGTGAAAAATCGTCAAAGGTTCCTGTGCGATGTCCGCGTCGAAGGTTTCAGCTATGTTGCTGTGGGCAATTCTACAAACAAGAAGGATGCTCAGATGAATGCTGCTCGTGACTTCATACAATTCTTAATTCGAGAAGATAAAGTGGCTCCGAACGAAGTCCCTGACGATGTAAAAGCTTTATTCATTCTCATATTTATTCACTTATATATTTACTTATCCATTATATTCACACACCTATACTATCAGCTTGAATGAAATATTTAAAAAAATTTGTTTGATTGCATTGTTATGAGCACTTACAGGAATCGTGTTTACTTTGTCTCAGATGGGGTCATTAGGAGGTGGTTTCCCTGAGGGCCCAGATGGTTCTGATAACCAAGTTCCCATTTCTAGCCAGCCAAGCCATTCTGTATTTAAGCCTGGTATGGGCCCGGCTGATTTTGGGACAGCATACCGTCCCTTTCAAGAAGGTGATCGCAAGATGACATACATTGACCGAATGGCTGAAAAGAAACAAGTTGAAGAGGTACTACATTTCACTATACCATTAGCTTTTTAATCTATTGCGGCTTTTGTTTCTCTTGACTGTAACTTTGCCTTGTATGCCTCACTCTACTAGGCAGAGGATTTGGACATGAATGCTTCTATTCATGGAAACTGGACCATTGAGAATGCCAAGTCAAAGTTGCACCAGTTTATGCAAATGCACAGGATTGCAGCGGACTATAATTACACAACTGTTGGCCCAGATCATAATAGGTAACAGTATTAAGAAAGAAAAAGAGAAACTTATACTATTTGAGAGAAACTTATATTATTTGTAGGCTTTTAGTTATGTCCTCATTTGTTAAGGATGGACCCTTGTCCCTCAAAAGAGTTTTTTTTCTGACGATCATTTGATAAAACCGATAGCCAGACATCAATGATGTGATGTATCATTGTAGTCTGTCTAATTACAATTATCATGTTAAGTGTATTTCACAATCATCAGTTTCTGATTGTGATCTTCACTTTACTGAATCATGCAAGACATTTGTTGCAACACTATTGAACAACCAAACAGTTTAAAACTTATGAAAACAGTAATTCTTTCTACAAAGATTGGAAGATACAGTCTTTGTTTGAAATTCATTTTTTGTGGAGAGCCTGTGGAAGAAAAAATATATCAACAAGCAAATGGCATTGCAAATGATAGAAAAATTTTCTTTGCCATGATTCACACAAAGTAGTTGTCCATTGGCTCTCCACTATGCTTTAATTTTTCAAAGGTTGTTTAATAGTGTTGCATGGCTTGTCTTTCAGATTTATTGCAGCTCTGGTTGAGCTTAAGGGTTGAAGGTGAGTTATTATTCACTTACTATAAGCCTTAAACTCTCGGGATTTCAGTCCAAGAATTACCTGCATCTTGTTCAAGCCAATTTGTTCTATGGAACCATCCATTGGGACCTGTTTTTATCTAATACGTTTGTTGAATTGTTTGCAGGAGCTTTGTGGCAGAAATGACATTTCACGTGAAGAAACTTGGACGTTGTATGTATTTTTGTCAACTCATGCTTTTTATACTGTGACGTCTTGAATCTTAACTTTGGAATTTTTTTTATTTTTCAAGCTATAACTGGCCGAGTTACTGGTTCAAACAAGCAAAGTGCTTCAAAGAGTTGTGCCTTGTCCATTGTAAGACAATTGTTCCACTTGGGTGTAATTGAACCCTTCTCTGGCACCTTAAAAATGAAGGAAACTGAACTCATGAAACCATTTGATGTAAATATTGCTCCAGATCTAATGCATGGTGTGAAAGATGTTCTTGACGCCCTCAATCTCACCCCTGTTGATGTGGTAAGTGCTTAGCATCAGTGCCTAGAACACAGTTTGTAACATTATGAATAAATTTCCATCCATATTAAATTTTTATTTTCCAGAAACCAGAGTGTAAAGAAATTTCTCTTGTGACATCCAAAGTATTGGATGAATTTATCACATCCACGCCTGCACCTGTTGGTGTTGTGCCTTGGTCACCACCTGTTCCAAATTGGAATCCTTGGAGTGGTTGTAATATTGATGAAGGCCCTTTAGCTCATGTAAGTTTTTAATTTCAAAATCTGGCAAAATTGTAAACATGTTCTGAAACTTGTTTGGTTTCATCACAGGCTTCTCTAGATCAACTCAGTGAGGATCTGTGCAATGAATATAAGCAGCGTCTTCAAAATGATGATACATTGAAGAAAATGATCAATGATCGCCAAAGGCTGCCAGTGGCTTCAATGAGAAGTCAGATAATGGCAGCTATTAATGACAACTCTGTTGTTATCATTCGTGGTAACACTGGCTGTGGTAAAACCACACAAGTATGTCAATTTATTCTGGATGATTATATTCAATCTGGCCAGGGCGCTTATTGCAACATTGTAGTCACCCAACCAAGAAGGATTTCTGCAGTGTCTGTTGCTGACCGAGTTGCTAATGAAAGAGCTGAGCCTTTGGGCCAGAGCATTGGTTACAGTGTCAGATTTGAATCTTGTTTGCCTCGACCATATGCTGGTGTCATGTTTTGCACTATAGGTATTTTCTTAAATTTTTTCATTATTTAATATAATATTCTATGCAGTGATCAATGAAGTCCATTTTGCTCATTCAACCGATTTTGTTGTATTCTAGGTGTGCTATTGCGAAAATTGGAAAACGGCTTGCGTGGTGTGTCACATGTTATAGTGGATGAGATACATGAAAGAGATGTTAATTCTGATTTCATCATGGTCATTTTGAAAGACATGGTTCACACATACCCAGATTTACGTGTAATTCTGATGTCTGCCACAATTGACACAACACTCTTCACTGAATACTTCAACAATTGCCCCATAATTGAGATTCCTGGACGAGCATTCCCTGTTGATGGTAAAATTCTTGTGCTTAACTGAATCTGCAATTAGGAAAAATATCCTTAATAAGTACTAACAAATGACAATGAATCAATTTTAGAATACTTTTTGGAGGATTGTATTCGCCTCACAAAATTTATACCTCCACCTCCAAGAGGCAAGAGAGGAAACAAGAGCAATGACGAAGATGGTGTAGGTATTGATGATGTGGAAGAAAACTTAAATCTACACATTTCTGATCATTATGATGCCGCAACAAAGCAAGCAATGGCAAAAATGTCGGAAAAAGAAATATCATTTGAACTTATTGATGTAAGTTGTAAGAAAAATATCCTGTTTGTTACTCACATTCGTTTATTATAAATTCTATTGATTGTAAAATATTAACTTGAGTCTGGAATTTGTTGTTTTAGGCACTGCTAAGATACATCAAGGACCAAGGAGTCCCTGGAGCAGTTCTTATTTTTCTGCCTGGGTGGAATCTGATTTTTGCTATCATGCGCTATCTTCAAAATCACCCCATTTTTGGTATTTATAAGGTTTTGTGTTATTTTTCTTCTGTAACCTTAATGTACTTTACTTCTAAATATTTTTTGCTTTATGTTTTAGGTGGCTCTGGATATGTTATAATTCCCCTGCATTCCCAGCTCCCTCGTGAAGACCAGAGACGAGTGTTTGACACAGTTCCTGAAAATGTTACTAAGGTTATTTTGTCAACCAACATTGCTGAAACATCTCTGACCATTGATGATGTCGTATTTGTCATTGACAGCTGCAAAGCTAAAATGAAGCTTTTCACTTCTCATAATAATATAACCAACTATGCCACTGTTTGGGCATCCAAGACGAATTTGGAACAGCGGAAGGGACGCGCTGGTCGTGTGAGAGCTGGGTACTGCTTTCATCTATGCAGTAAAGCAAGATTTAATAAGCTAGCTGAACATATGATCCCAGAAATGTTCCGTACACCACTGCATGAACTTGCTTTGTCAATCAAGCTGCTACGGTTGGGCCAAATAGGTCTTTTCCTCAGCAAGGCAATTGAACCACCTCCAATTGATGCTGTGATAGAGGCTGAAGTATTGCTGCGTGAAATGAAATGTCTGGACAAAAATGATGAGCTTACTCCACTTGGCAAAATTTTGGCAAGACTTCCCATTGAGCCCCGTTTGGGTAAGATGATGATCCTTGGAAACATCTTTTTCTGTGGGGATGCCCTTGCAACAGTTGCTGCCAACAGTTCAACAATGCCTGATGTCTTCATTACTGGAATGGAAAGAAGGCGACTTTCGTTCCAACAAATTGCTTTTAGTGGTTGCCGTAACTCTGATCATGTGGCCATGATGAATGCTTTCCAGTCATGGGAAGATGCAAGGGTTGGTGGGGAAAGAGCTGAAATTGACTACTGTGATCACAAAGGCTTATCTGTTCCAACTTTGAGAGTGACTTGGGAAGCCAAAAACCAGTTGAGGGACCTGTTAATGGCCTGTGGATTTCCTGAAGAAACCTTAGCCCCACAGATGTACAATTACCATGGTCCTGATGCAAAATTGGATATGGTTGTTGCTTTGCTAAGCTTGGGTCTGTATCCCAATGTATGTTACCATCAGGAAAAGAGGAAGGTTCTTACAACAGAATCAAAATCTGCTCTTATTCACAAGACATCTGTTAACTGCAGAAATGATGCTTCTTTCCCTTTCCCATTTTTCGTGTTTGGAGAAAAAATCCGAACTCGAGCTGTTTCTTGTAAACAAATGACAATGGTAACTCCAATCCATCTCCTATTGTTTGGATCCAGAAAAGTGGATGTTGTGGATGGCCTTGTGCGTCTTGACAATTGGTAGGAAATGTTCTTGTTTTCTTCACTTATTTGTTTCACTTGCTCTTACAATCATAACAATAACATTTTTACTCCCCGCAGGATTCTCTTGAAAATGGATCCAAACCAAGCTGCTGCTGTAGTGGCTTTGAGACCAGCTATTGAAAGTCTTGTGATCCGAGCATCCAAAGAACCAGAGCTGATTACAGAGCTTTCTCCACTTGATGAGAAAGTGATCAACATAATAAGGCAGCTCTGTAAGATTAATTCTGGAAGACATGAGTTGGAGCCTGTTGCCTTGACTAAGTTAGTTGTGGTCCCACAGTGTCCTCTATGTTGTGCTGATTTGTCTTTAAATTGACTTTGCTCTTATTTGCTCCTCTGTTTTTCTTAGCCCTCATTCTCGCAGACCGCCCCGTGGAGACTTAAACAGAAGCTTTGACGGAGGGCCCCCTGCCAAAATGCCTCGAACTGATGACAATGGAGGTGGAAATAGCTTCGGTAGCCCAGGAGGCTCAGGCTTTAGTGGATATCAAGGTGGCGGTGGCGGATACAGAGGTGGTTACAGAGGCGTAGGAGGAGGATATGGAGGATTCCGTGGAGGATATGGAGGTAAGACAACCACTGATATCTCTCTGCAAAATTAGGAAGTATTTCAGCTGCAAAAAGCTCAAAATTACCCAATTTGTGTTTTGTGTTCACTAGGTGGGCGAGGAGGAGGTGAAGGCTACTTTGGTGGAAGAGGTGGTGGCTACAGAGGTGGTTTTGGAGGTAACAGAGGCAGAGGCGGAAGAGGCAGATTTTAAGTTTGCACTGATTTGTATGTTCCTGAATGATATCTTTATTCGATGATAGGGCCTGACTTTTTGGTATGCCTCATTTTTATTTGATGGTAGAGTCTCACTTTTTTTGTGTGTTCTGATAGATTTTTATTTGATGAAAGGCCAAGGCCTTCATTTATTCTTGAATGGTATAATCGTTGTGTTATATCACCACAACATCAACATCACTCTGAACCATCACAGTTTTTATTCAACATTCCTCTTATGTTCCTATTGTTTCCCTTTTCTTTTGCAATACAATATTATACACATATTATGTTATTTGTCTTGTATCCAAATGTGTGATTTATTTGTCAATAACAGCATTAAGCTACATAAATTGAGACATTGGTCTTGTTTTTTTTTTTCAACCCTACCTTAGTCACAACTGCTCCCAGAGTAAAAAAATATTGAGTTTCCTAAGGGGAAGGACAAAACCCACTAAGCTGAGCAGGCAGGTAGCGAAGGGAGAGAAGGGAGCTCTGTATGGTGGCGCCATCTCGTCGCTTATCGAAGAACTACAGGAAGCGTCTTCTGCTAGGGTTCACGGTGCGAACAACAACAAAAGAAAACACTTGCACCTAAGTTCCAAATGACAACACATTATTCACTAAGTTTTTAACAATTAGTAAGATCATTTATCAATTCTAAGTTATCACCAGCTTTTACCAGAGCAGAAGACAGCCACTTTTACATGACCGGGAAATTTCTCTTTCCGCCCCGCCTTTCCAAACCCGTGAAATACCTACTACTTTTTTTAATAAAATAAAAATTTAAGATCAAATAACGTGTTATACCCCAGAAACTTGGCTCAAAGGAATTCCGATCGAGCGCGGCCACTTCCAGTAGCGGGGAATTCTTGTCGCGATGTTGGCAGTGCGATCGTGCCGCAGTGGTGGCAGCAGTGCAGAGGCAGTCTTTGGCAGCTTGAAGTAGGGTTACGAAGTTAGGCCCGTGGAACTGACGCTCTGGTGTCAACTGCCGCGCCGTGTGCTCCGGCAACCTGGTGGCCGCTTTCCCGTGAGTATTTCCTCTCAATTTGGGCGCATTGAGCGTCCGGCAGGCGGCTGGCTGGGCGAGATCGGCGGCCGCCAGACGCGGCGACGCCCGCGGGGACAGTTTTTTGACGGGACGGTACCGACCAGGGTGTGACTAGAAAGGGGTGTGTCTCGTCTCATCCTTTGGCGAAGGGGAGGCGGGCGCCGCCGAGCGGCTCGACATGTCACCGTCGAGAGCACTAGCGTCGCGGTGGACGCTTCCCGCCGCGAAATGAATGGAATCTCGTCTGGCGTCGCACGGAGCACGCACCGCAGCCGTGTGAATTTATTTTATTGATCCGAAGGTGAGGTCATGTCTCGGTTCGTCCTGCCCCGTCCCGTCCTCCATTTTGGACTCTGTGTGGGAGTTTCGGCTGCGTTTCTTCATGTCACCCTGTCACGCGGTCGCACCCTTCGTCCGGAATTCGCTCAGCCACTTTTGTCGTAGTGCGAATCCCGGGCTGTCCTTAATTTTTGGCTGTTTCCCGCAGCGTCCTCCCACAGATAGTGAGGCGAGGGGAAGGGGGGAGGAAGTTGGTGCTCCTGCGTCCCGTCCCGTCCCTTCGGCTCGGGCGGTCTGCCTTCTGCCTCTGCCTTCCCGTTCCGCTCCCCTCCCCTCCCCCCGTCCGCCCGCCGCCCGCCCGCAGGTCGGTCTCGGCCAGTCAGTCTGTGTTGGTCGTTTCGTTAGGTTCATGTCACTTTTTCCGCGTGCGGTGTAGTTCGAGCGTTGGCTCTCAGTTTGCCAGCTTTCTAGGGACTGTTTCGAAGTGAATTGATGCCGTGAAATGAGCGCTTCGACGCCCTTTCGCCCGTCTGCATCCTGAAGTGATATCTGTACGCCGCGGAGCAAAACTTGCTCGTTTAAAGTTGCAGAGGCAGCGACAGGCTGTCAAAGTGGTGCTTTTTTTCCGACCGGGTTTTGACTAGTGCGATGCAGTCTCTCGCGGAAGTGTGTGAAAAATTGTGACCTGTTGGATAATTCTTTGTGCGCTACTATTGGATATTTAAAGCCGCATCCCTTGCAGACGAAGGTAATTACAATTTTAGGTTAGTTGTGGTACAGGGTTTAGGTTACACCAATGGCTTTTAGTTTCCCTTCGTCGGCAAAGAGCCCTTGGGTAGCGAATTTCCATGGTATTTTCATTGTTTTCACATGATTATTTTTTTGTGATAGTAAATGTTGTTGATTTTTTACGCAAAATATTTGTTTAGAGCTGAGTATTGCAATGCAATCTTCAAAAATGTGATAGCATTGCAAAAGTATAATCTGATGACATCAATTTTGTTACTTTTCATGAGGGGCCTGTAATTTTTTGTAATTAGCACAGGCAGGAGTACAGTACTGATCAGCTGACAATTTTGATTTTGTTTACTCTTGTGCTAGTATGTTTAATCCATTTCACAAATGCACAAATGGGTGCATGACAAATTTAATGTGGGATGTCAATATTTGTCCAACTTTCAAAGTTCTCAAAGATTTATTTTTGTCATTTTATGGTCCTACCCAGTCTTGACATCTTATTTTCTGGCTGATCCTAAAAGCAGTGGGGAACACAGGTGCTGCCCAGGGGGCCCAGAGGGCAGTCTGTTGGAAATATGGGTACCATTTGGTGCTCAGCATGTCTCATTCCAGTCGCCTCCAGCCCCCTGATTGCAGTAGAACCACTGGAATTCAGTCCATCTCGCTCCCACGCGCCGTGGAGTCAGTGGAGGCCTGGGCTGGCCTGGGCTTGAGTGTAGGTGCGTGGGCGTCAAGTACGACATGACAGTGCTTTCGCCGTGTCGTTTTATCCCGGGAAATACCAGTTATCAAGTCGTCCCCACGCCCCGGCGGCCAGGCTGTGCCAGGCTGAGCTCTCGCGCACGCCGCACGACGCGGCAGGGCCGCTCTTTGGGCCCGACGCCCCCGCCACGGTACGCCAGGCCCGCAAGGGACAACTCACTCGGTTGCCGCGAGCTGCCGGCTCGCGTCCCCGTAACTTATGCACGCCCCCTCCCCCTCCTGCTCGGTGGCGCTCTAATTGTGGTCAATTTGCCGTCCCCGGCGAAGCCTGCTGCGTGCTGGGGCCGAAGGGAACCGAAGGGAACGGGCCTTTCTCGGCGATACCGTTTGATCTGACCCCTTTGGCTGTCCGGCTGCCCCGGACTCGATGTCGCTTCCTAATAGGGCAGCCTCCTGTCATGACCGCGGCCGAACGCGAGCGCCAATGAATTCCTGCGAAGGGCGCGGGGCGGCCGGTGCGCCCTGAGGTCCGTCCGGTCCGGTCCGGGCCAAGAGTGGTGCGTCGGCGGGGCCCGCGGAGGAGTCCGGGCGGACCTGGCGGGGCGGCCGGGGCACTTGGACAGTCCCTGGAGACTCGCTTACTCGCTGGCCTTTATGGGACTCATGGCGTGGCCCGTGACCCTGCCTGGCCTGCCCTGCCGTGTTCTCGCCCTACCGACCGGCCGCACGCCGCACGCCCCGGGCCCTACCCGCGCTCGGCCAGCCAGCCGGCGGGGCGTGGCGGGGCGTGGCGGGGCGTGGCGGGGTGGCGGCGCGGGGCGGGGAGCGGGACGGCGAGGCGTCGCGGCCCAGAGGCGGCGTTGCCCGGTCGCGTTCGGTGCGCCGATTGCGGCGTTGCCTGATGGCGCGCCGGCCGGCTCAGCCGGCATCCATGGTGCGGGCCGGGGGCCGGGCACCACCGGGGCCGGCACCAGCACCGCGGCAAAGCGCGAGCGCGAAGCGTCTTCTGCTGCACTGCGAGTCATCGAGCCACTGCGCGGCGCACAGTACTTACACTGTCGAAAATGGGCGCGGGGCTCGCGAGGCCCTCCTGGAACTGGGCCAGCGTCAGCCGGAGCCGGCCGCGGCGTTGCCGGCGTGTCCGCGGCGTGCGTCCGCGGAGTGTCCGCCCCCTCCGGGGGCTCCGGACTGCGGGGTCACTGGCTGGAAGATTCCGGGCCAGAGCTGCTGGCGCTAGACCGGCATTTGGCCAACGGCTGATGAGGCCGAGTCGATGCTGCTGCTCGTTTTGCTGCTTCCCTAATGAGCCGCTCGCGGCAACGCCACGGCAACGCTGTGTCGTCTCGGTGCACGGCGCGCGGCCTCTGGCTTCACCACCGTCAAATGTCGCCGGGGACAGCCGGCCGACCCCGCCGGGAAGCCTGCGCCACGACGCCGTCCTGGCTTTCCGATTGCAGAAAGAATGTTTTGAGCCGCCCCGCCCTGCGGCAGACTGCGCGGTGATAACAGGCGCTGCCTGCCTGGCCTGGCGCAGTGTGTGTGCTGTGATGGACGGCAACAGATGCGCCCGCTGCACGGCGTGCTCTGGCTGCACCCAGGGCGCCGCGTCGATGAAGTCATCCGGACGCGCGGACGCCTTGCCTCGCGGTGTTGCGTGGCCAGCCGTAAACACAACACGTGGAAGTGGATTGCCGCGTCCTTTTAAACGCCCACCGAGTTCGTCTACCTGGCCGCTCGGCCGCGCGTCGTGGGATAATGCATGAATGGAGGCGCGCTGAAGGAGGGATGCACCTGGGGCACCCCCTCCCCTTTTCGGAATCTACCTGAATCGGATGCACGGCCACGCCCCTGTCTGGCGGCACAAGTTGCATGCGCCCCTTCGCGACGGGGAGGAGCTTGCGGAGGACCTGCCTCGCGGGTTGCCCTCGTCGCGCGCGTAGCGGGGGACGCATCGCGTTGTCGCCACACCCTCGAGGGCGGCGGCGTCGCCGCGGCCGGCTGTTTTCCTTGGCTGTGATACGCTGCTTTGCAGAGTACGGCGCCCTCCAAGTCCAAGCAAGCCAAGCAAGCCAGTAGCGTAGTAAGCCTGGTGCTCTGCGGCGTCTATTTCGGGCGCCCTGCTGGGCTTCGAGATGCGGGCTGCCCCCCTCCCTTTCTTTTTACCTCCTTCCCACGGCGCCCCTCCAAATTCTTTCCGGCGTGTCTCTGACGCCCCCTCGGGCCCGGTTAATCAATGGGGCTATCTATCAGGGCCTCGAGGACCTCCCAGCCGGCCGGCCGCGTCGCTGTCGTCGTGTTGGCGGCGCCGCGTCGCGCCGGTGCGCTTATTATTGCCCGCGGCTGTTTATTCCCCGGCCACGTGTGCGAGTGCGGGCACACTGCACACCGATCCGCGCCGCCTCCCAGTGCGAGAGAGACGGCTCGGAGTAAGACGGCAAGACGGCGGCCAAATGTCAAGTTAAAAGCGAAAGGGCGGCGGCCGACTGGCTCGCCGCCGCGCCGAGGGTGAGGGCCGCGAGGGCAGTGAGGGGGCGGCCGTAAGCTGTGCGTCGACGCGTTGACGTTGTGGCGTGGCGAGTGGAGGGCATTTGTCCGCGCGCTGGCCCCTGGCTGGCCCGGTGCGGAGTCGCGGACCGCGCCGACTCGGAACTTGGTCGCCACTGTCGCGACTGTGAAGTGGGTTGCGGTCTGGGAGTCGAAGCGCGGCGGTGCCGCGGCTGGCGTGGCCAATGTCGGGAACAGTTTGAACATCCTTTTTTTTGGCGCCAGAAAAGCCGGCTTGATCCCCGGGTAGCGGGGGCCTGGCGGGGCGCGTGCGCGCTGTCACCGTGCCGGAGGGGCGACGAAAAATGATGCCGCATTCTCGCGTGGCGTGGCGTCGCGGGCTGCCTGCCTGCCTGCCGCCTCATCAGCCCGGCCGGTATTTCGGTCGTGTCAACTCCGTCGTCTGGCTCGTTGTCTTGCCCATTGAGGGCGATCGCTGTCGGCGGGGCCGTGCCGCGGCTGCCGCTGTTGGCGCAACAGATGCGGCCGACTTGAAAGGGCCCCGCCAGGCCCCGCCGCGAGTGCGAGGGGCGTGCCCCGCCGTGCCGGGCCGCGGCCGGGACAGCGCCGTAGGGAGGGCCGGGGCGTCGGCCTAGGTCAACAATCAGTCGGCATTTGGAACGGAGCGACACTCGTGGCCGGCCAAGTGTGCCGTCTGCCGCGGCACGCCGTCGCCGTCACGGCCGGTGCACCGTCGGGCCGGTGGCGTCGTCAATGAGGCGTCGCCGATGGAGCGTCTCGAGTTGCACGGCGCGCTGGAGTGGAACAGAAGTAGTGAAATGGAGCGCCGGCAGTCGGCGAGCGAGCGAAACGTGACGGCGGCACCGAGTCAATGCAGTCTGTGTGTAGTCATTACGGGTGACCGACATTTGGGCGTGTGCTCCCGTACGGGAACCGCGCATGCACATGCACGCCATGTCGTGCTTCGCGAAGCACCGCTAACACCTTTATCCCCCCCCCCTCTCGTTCCCCCCTGGGGCCCTCTCTCTCTCCGGGCAGCTGCACTGACGGAACACTCGGGTGGAGGGGGGCGGGCTCGGAGTGACTCATAGTGCATTCCCCTAGAACAACACGCTCGCTAGCGTGAGTACGGCCGCGTGTGTGTGTGTGTGCGTGTGAGTGCGCCTTGTCCTTTTACATATGGAGTTGCTCTGGCGGGCCGTGCCGCCCGTGTCGCGCATCATCATTACTTCTTCGCTGATTGGAATGCCGAAGCCCGCGGGTGACACGCACACACACGCACTCGCACACACACTCGCTCAGCCACACACTCATGCTGCGCTGGTGTATCTTATCTCGGGCGGGGCCGGGCGGGGCCCTCTGTGGTGGTACTTTGTATTTCCTCGACAACTGGTGCAGCCCGGGGACTGCCCGGGGACTGCCCCGCGCTGCCCGGTTCGTCGATCGAGTGCCAGCGGAAGTGGAAGTGAGTCTCCATTCTGACCGGGGCGCTTTGCGTGTTGCAGGGCCGACCATTGCTTCCAACGGCTGCTGGGAGCAACGACTGACGTGGTGAGTGCTCTGTCTCCTCGCGCGCCTGTGCGGCGGCCCGCGCGGCCAAACGGAAAGGGAGGCCCTCGGGGAGGCCCGGGACGGGAGGCCCCCGACGACGACGACGCTTCTCCGCGCGGAGTTTGACCGCCGCGTGTGCCGTGCGTGCGTGCGTGTCGGAAGGTATAAATCGGGCCTTCTTGTTGTCTTGGACGGCGGCCAGGCCAGCCGGATGGATGCGAGACGGCCGCGGAGACGGCCTGGGTGTCGTAGTGACGGCGCGGGGCGTCGCGCGCCGCAGCCGCACTGTGCGCCGCCAGGGCGGGGCGGCGGGGTTAGAGGCCACGGTCGGGGGTCGCCCCATTCTATCGCCGTTTAATCGCGTGTTTGTGCTTGTTGTCGTTTAATTTCGTGTCTCGTTATCGGCGTGCCGCCGACGTGGGAAAGGAAGCTAGAAGAAACAAAAGGCCGTCTCAGTCGGTACTTCCTGGATGGTAGAAAGCGTGGGCGGACGATCAGAAAGCCATTTCTTTTCGTATTTTCCACATTTTTTTTGGGAACACGTCGCGGAGGCGGAGGCCCGTGCACTCGCGTCCCGGCAGGTGCGCGTCGAGTCGTCGACGGGAAGCGCGTTGTCTGCGGCGCCGTTATTTCGGGCGGTCCGTCCATTCCAGGATGCTGCCTGGCCTGCCTGCAGTGGCGTGGCACAGCGTGGCGCAGCGTGGCGCTCGTGACGGGCAGGGAGGCTGCGGTCGTGCCGCCCCGCCCCGCCCCGCCCCGCGAGAGAAAGAAAGAAAACGGGAGAAGATTGGGAGCAGCGGCACTGCACTGGCAGGGCGCGACGCGGCGCGGAGGCCTTAGGCCCTGGTGTCGAAATAACGATCGAGATATCGAGGCGATACGCATCGCCCCGCCGGCCGGGTTGCTGGAAACGGTGCGGATGTTCGTGGAAGCCGGTGCGGCCACATCGCCACAAAAATATGGCTGCGTTCTTCAAGTTTTTGAAACTAGGCGCAGGCTTCTCCTCAGGTCTCGCCCAGGGCGTGGCGCTGTTCCCGGTTCGGCTGTTTGCTGGGGTCGTCTGTCGCGTGTTTCGGGCACATGGGGGACCCCGCGGCATGTACCACGCATGGTCTTACCATCCTAGCCCCGGCACGGAGTGTCGACACTATTGGAGCTATTTGGCAAGTATTACAGTTGAAGGGCTGCAGTCGGGCTTGGCTATTTACAGCCCTGCGTCAGGCCCCTAGCCCTTGGCCTTCACCGCCATTGGCGGGCTTCTTTAGCAGCCTTTACGATGTGGCATCAGCCATAGGAGCGTCGGTTTCACTTTTCGAACGGCGCCGAAATTTGGGAAAGCGGGCCTGGTTGGGTCCGCTTTGACAATACTTGGGCCTATAGCAACCAGGGTCCCATTCGCGTATACATGGCACCTAAGCGAGTGCGGGACAGTCCGGTCATTCAGAGCAAGCGTTAAACTCGGCCAGGCCGCGGGCACGCTTACGCCCAACGTCTTTTTAGGACATTTTGAGCGTTTGGGCAGTGAGGCCTTGCCTCCCGGCTACTTTAGTCATAATCACTCCTACAAGCGGACTAGGGGAGGCCAGACATGCGTGAGTGGATGACCGGCAGGGATCGGACGCAGGGCATGCTGGAGGCCCGTGGGTCGCGAAACTTCTGGGGGCGGAATTTTGGCTACAAATTTGGGCGCGGCCGAAAGGTTGAGAACCGCTGACTAGGCGCAGGCCTGGTCTGCCTCCAGGCGTTCACTCCGGGCGTGGCCGGCTGTGGGTCTCCCTTCGGTCGTTGTTTGCTCCGTGTTGGCGGCAGTGTCCACGGCTGTCTGTCCGTGGGGCACAATGGGGCGAGCCCCCCGCCGCGCTGTAAAACTGGACCATAGTCCTACGCGGAGCGCCGAGCCCGCGGCCGCCACGCTGGCAGCTCTGCGGCCACGTGACACTTGGTGAGGCTTGGCAGCCATGGCAGGTGTGCTTTGATTTATAGGGCGCCAGTCGGGCCTCACCTGGTCATCATTGTGGTGGCACCGTGGCGGCAAGGCCCCCTTAGCCCCTCGAGGAGGGCTTCCCCGCCTTGACGGACGGGCTGTCGTGCTGTCGCCGCGCCGTCTGCCTGTCTGTGGGCCATCACGGCCATCACGGTGGCGTCGCGGGGTTGTCGCCACCTTTTCGCTGGCGGCCCGGCAAATTGTGGGGCCAACGGCGACGGCGTGGTGGGCCGCTTTCGCTGCTTTGGGGCCGTGAGTAGGCAACCCACGGCGGCCCGCGGGCGGACCGTGGGACTCGGCACCTGGGCGACGTGGGCGGGGCCGGCCGGGTCCATTCCAACTGGAACGCGTTAAAACTCGGCGGCGGCCGCGCGGCACGCACGGCCGCGGGGTTGCGGTCGAGCTTGTTGGGGAGGGGCTTTGCTGTGCGGGGCGCGTCGGGGCGGCGAGGGCCTTGGCCGCCCCGGGGCACTTTAGTCGATACAGTCGCGCGCACGCAAGCTGGGACTGCGAGGGGGACGCGCTGACGCGCTGTCAGGCGTGGTTTGTTGGTGTGACTCGGCAGGGCTCTGGCCGGGCCTGCGGCTCGACTCGCCAAGCCTCTAGTGTGGCTCGGGTCGGGCCGGCTCGGCTGAGCGGCTGAGCACTACACTGGCGGCGCTTGGCTTCGCGCGGCGCGGCTCGGCTCTTTCGGGACGTGATGAGGTGACGTCAGGGATAACTTTAGAGCGCACAGGCCTTAGTGCTTGCCGCCAGCAGCAGCCGCCGCCGTGTGTCGTCTGCATCATCTCGTACGAAACGGCGCCTGGTGCCTGGCCTGCCCGACCTGCCGCTCAAGGCCGCCGACGCCTGCTGCCCGGTGTCTGAGGCTGTCTTGAACGCGTCGGAGGCTAAGGCCGCCCAGGGTGTGCTCTGCGGTGCGGCGGTTCAGGGGGCGGCGATTCGGCCCGACGACGCTGTCGTCGACGCGACGTCGACCTCCAGGACTCCAGCGCGCGGCTCTACTAATGGCTGGTGACGTCAGTGCGCTGCAATGCGCCCTCGCTCTGGATTGGCCCGGCCCGGCGGCTTGACGGCTCGACGGCGTCCTCCCGCGGCAGACGGACGGACAGGCAGGCAGCACTCCGCCCTGCTGCCACCCGTCACGCACACGGAAGTGGCCCGGGGGTTGCTGGCTGTCGGGGTGCTTTGAGGGGGCAGGCCCGGGCGGACCCAGGCAGGCCCGGAACAGGGGGTGGATGAGTTAGGGGCGACCTGTGGCAGCCAGCGCCGCCAGGCCGCCACCAGCCAGTGCGATACGACAGTGACGGGGCGGGCTCGAGGGCAGAACGTAACACGAACGTGATGGGCTAGACCAGGAACGATCTGCCACCGATTGAGGCCCGTCCAAGCCGCGCCTATCTTGCAGCGAGGCCTCTCGGGCGGGGCGAGGTAGAGAGGCCTCGGCTCAGGCCAGTGCACTCCCTGTGTTTGTCATTTTTGCCTTGTGTTCCTGTATACACTACCCCCGGCCCCCGCCGCCACCCTCTCCGCGGTGCTGACACAGGGCGTCGTCGTGGAGTGTGTACCCGGGGGGTGGAATGCGGGTAGGTCTTGCGCGGGTCTCCGACCTCGCGGCCACTTTGGAGGCGGCCGGCCGGGCCGGCCGGGGCAGGCCTAGCTCCTCGGTCGATGGAGCAGGCGCGGCAGCGGCAGCGCGGTAGGGTGTAGGGTCTGCGGGGTCACCGCACCTGTTCGTGTGGCGATTGGGCGTCCGCGTCGGTCCGCGTGCGGTGCCTTTCCCGCAAAGTGGCGCCCCCCCCCCCTCCTAGCGTGCCTTCCCCCTCCCCTCCCCTCCCCTCCCTGGCGTGACGCCCACCTTATCGCACCGCCGCCACGCTGATGCTGCGCGCGATCGCACTGTCACACGCCTGTCCGGAGTGAAAGGCCTCCTGACGCGTTCGTCGCCTCTCTCGCACACCCGCGGGGCGTTCCGCATGGGTGCGAGGGAGACGGAGCGACTAAACGCGGTGCGGAATCGATTTGCTGCTTCTCTCGTTGGAGGCACGCCGCGCGTCGTGTCGCGTCGCGTCGTCTCTCTCCGCGCCGTGGCGCTGCAGTGACAGACGGTCATCCAGGAAAGTGGTGCTTCGGCCCGCTTCCGTGGGAATGGGTCGGCGCGGCGTGGCGCGGCGTTGTGGACGGACCGTTACCGTCGCGGTGCGCTGAGCCGCGCGGCTGGCCGAGGCCGTGCCCTGCCTGCCCTGCTCGCCCTGCTGGTGCACGCGGTAGCGGCGGTAGCGGTCGGTCGCGCCCCTCCTCCCTCTCTCCAAGCGGCAGGTCCGCGTGCACGGCGTGCACTCGCGACCCGGTGGTATATAATCCGGCACCACCCGGTTTTACAGGCGCCGGCCGTAAACGCCGCCCCTGCCCCCGCCCCTCCCCGTCTTCGCGAACTTGCAACCACTCGCCCGGTCGCCATGGTGACGGTACCCGCCGCGGCCACGCCCACGACGCCCACGCGGCGCTCGCTCGGATTTTGTTTCGGGTGGCACTGTGCCGTGCCTTTCCCGCGCTCGGCGCCGAATTCGAGAATGAATGAATGGGTGCGCTTCGGCCGGGTCGCCGCGGACGGCAAGGCAATTACTGCAGTGGAGTGATTCCTGGGTGCGAGAGAGACGGAGCGACGAGAGCGACTCTCGGAATCAGTCTACTGACCGCGATTCGCTGGCCGCTTTGTGCCTGCCGGTGCCCGCGGTGCCCGCGGTGCCGCACTGGCTCGTGTGATGCGGCAACGACGTGCTTCCGCTGGGCTGGTTGGGCCTGGGCCCCGCCTGGCTGTATCTTTGTTGTGTTGTTTGTAGGTGGGTTGCGCGGCGGTGCGGCGGAAAGTGGGCTGGAAACGGAAAGTTTATCGGCAACCTTCCGCGGGAGAAGCCTCCCTCCTCGCCGCGTGCGCGACCGTGCGGGACGCCGACGTCGGTCCGGGAGGAGCCCCTCGGAGGAGCCCATTGGAGGAGCCCCCGCAGACACGAGC